GGACAACACATTTGTCTGAAATGGTATAGGATCTCCTGTCGAGCAGAGGGTTGGACTAGAAGACCTCCAAGGTCCCTTCCAACCGTTTTCTATTTCCTATTCTATTCTAATCAGTCAGTGCACTTCCAGGCACATACTTTGAAAGTTAGTGAAGTACCATATTCAAAAATGCAGGTTAAATTTAGAAAATTAAGGAAATCAGGAGAGCCAGCATGATATCAACATGGCAAAGATGAAAAGATTCAAGTGATTTTTCAGAATAAATTATCCTCACAGGGAGAGAAAGAGCAAGGATGAAAGCCTTAAGCAACACTGACATGAGGTAAGCAGATACACGACTCCACTAATCAAGCAAGAAAAGATCTCATTTGCAGGTATTTTCAAATGCAGGAATATAAGCAGATGATGAAAATGAAAAAAAAAAATACTTTAAATAAGGTCAGAGCAATGTCACAATTCACAGCTAGGTAGAATCTGAACAGTTATCATCGCTGACATCCTTGTTCATATCAGAGGATTGGTGATGAAGATAACAGAACTCACAGAGACGGCAAAATTTACTTGTTTGATTACGGAAAGATCAGTAACTACATTACTGATTAATGAAAAAAGAGAAAAATGAACTTGTGATTTATCAGTTTGAAGATTAGAAAGGGCTGCTTACGGAGAGTGCCAAAGAGAAATGCCAAATGAACAGGAAGTAAGTTGTTAATTGAAGAAGACGTAGAACAGCTAGTAAAAGTGAAATGGAAAGAAAAAAGCCAGGACAATGGTAAATACCAAGCTAGTGTCAACCTGCAAGCTTAGTGAACCTGGAGTGGACAATGAAGTGAAAGTGGTAAACAGTGATATAATGCAAGAAGAAAACAGACTAGAAGACATAATACTTTGCAACACTGAGATAAATAGAAGTCATTTAGTCAGCCAGCTGGATCGGATCAAAGAAATTATTGGAAGACCTTGGATAGTTATTACTGTACTAAGGGCAAGTCAAGAATGGTGAGCATTTGTACACTGGCCTGGCATCCTCTTCACCATAACTGCTGAAATCTCGTAAGATCTTTAATGGAACACCATAATATCATAAGGCCTTAAACAAGAACATAAATATTTTTTAGATTCTAGCCACTTTTAATATTTACGCAAATGGGGCTCCAATCACTAACCATAATAAAGATTGCATTGTAGACACTATAATAATGTGATATGAACAACGTGGCCCCAGTTGGTATGCTGTTGTTAAATGATACATAAACTGTAAATTACAAATCCAATCTGCCTGGTATAAACAGTCTTAAGCCAAAAGTAAACAAACTGATTATCTTTTCTAGGAAACCAGCTGCTAATCACAATGCTTTCTCATCACAACAGTGCACAGCAATAAGAAATAGAAATTTTGGAGGTAAAGCTTATACAAATTCTTAATACAGCAGTAAGACTAAATTTGTTGGTAGCACAATATTGACTGATCCTTCACAAATATCTTTTATCCAATACAAGTTGGAAGCAGTGGAAGTCTTAATTCATATTCACTCAAAGCCCTCTGGTACAGTATGTCCTCAATTTGAAATTTGTGAGAGAGAAGTAAGTCAAATCATTTTCCTCTGTTCCTCCAATGGTGATTTTGAATCTCATATTAGCTTTCACCACCCAAGACAATCACAATCGCAATCACCCAACACAATCACAACTTCTGAAAGTTTTTCCATTAAGAATGTCATAACCTCTGAAATGTTCACCTGGTTACCTTAAAAACAGGATGTAGCATTTAAATGTTAAACTGTTTAGGGTTCTTTTACCTCAAAGTAAAGCTGCAGGCTGAATAGGACTTAAACACAAATGAAGGCAAATTTAGGGTTTAAACAGCTTGACAGCTTTATTAAGAGTCAGTTCCATCAGTACTGTGCATAAGCTGATCCTACAAGATTTAGATGATCCTACCTGGGATTTTGTCAAAAAAATTAAATTTGAAAAATGGAATATTAGCAGATAGAATTTCATCCTCCAAACTATGGAGAGCCATGATTTTTTAAATACAGCATTTTCTCTTTATAAATGACCTTTACTATGCACTGTGCATCATCCGTTGGATTTTAAACCATGTCAGCATATTACCAACTTCTTTATTTTCAGTGAAGTACAAACTGAAGCAACTGAAATGCAAATATGACACCTAAAATCAGACATGAAGAAACATTCAAGTTTCCTTTCTCTATTTCCTTTTGAAGTCAGCATTACAAATCCTTTCCAGGAGGTAGACTTCGGTCCCTATGGAAGCACTACAAGGTCCCAGCTGAATAAGGAAATTACCACCTACATTTTCCCAGGAAAAACAAGTATTATCTATTCAAAGCAGCAGTTCATTGGGCAGGAAATTGTGTATTTCAACAAGCACTGAAATGATTCTATTTATAAAAGAGAAATATGTAAGAGTTGTTGAACTTACAAATCTATATAAACAGAGGATCTGCATTACGCATGTTATATTATATGCATGTATTATTTAATATGTGTAAAAAAATATATTTATATTTCACATATACTGAAATGTATCTATAGCATTTACTTTCATTGTCTCAGACCATATATCTGTTACATATGTCAACGTTTAAAAGAAAGAAACTTATAAGGAAAGCATCAGCAGGCATTTACATGGTATGTTTAAAGAACATTTTATTTCTAAGCAGGATCATTGGATTCAAAAAAGGTCCTAAAAATAATTTAGTTTGATTCTGGCTTAGCCAAATATGTGAAATATGGTTTAACATAATGAAACTCCTATGACTTGCACAGCAAACCATACTTAACATACTAACATAGCCACAAAGTGAGGCAGCAAATACACATTGTTAAGAATTAAAGGGGACCACACAGCTTATCATTTCAAAGAGTGAAACTAATAAAATATTAGGTTGTTGTTTAGGAAGAGGGGGCAACTCAAACCCACACCCCATACAACTTTTATACTAAGCATTTATGCCAGTTTGCAGATTTTTCTTAAAAAAATATGTAGAGAAAAAAAAACTTTTGTCCCTTAAGGAGTTTAGCCAGAATCTTATATAAATTATGTATCGACATTCTTCCTGACTAGTGTTGGGCTACCTGGATCCTTTTAAGAGGACATCAATACAGCTGTGGAGTTGTTTTACCAAATAATATATAAGCTTAGGATACTCTCTAGAACAACAACAGGGGATATTCCTTGAAACAGAGAACATTCACAAGGCTCAAGTTGCAGTGTATGGTTAATATATCAGAAACACTACCCAATATATTGTTGAAATCAACAGTATTAACCAAATTTTGAAATTAAAATAAACCACCTACTTTTCTCATAAAGCTATATTGGTGTGATTCTATCAAAGTAGAAAGATTGATATTGGTCCATCTCAGAGACTAACTGGTTGGATTCAACTCAAAGGTTGTTCTGTTGCTATCTTGTTTTCATAAATCAGCTACGCAAATGCTACATAAAACTGCGCACAAGGGTAACCCGGCCCAGCTGATAATAGGTCTGCTTGCATGGCATATATATATTAATCTGTATGTGAGTGACCCATCCATTAGCAACACCAAGTAGGCTTGCACAACACCTCCCCAGGCTGGAAACTCGGATAGTTAATACTGATAGTCCTCAACTTACAACAGTTCATTTAGTGACTGTTTGAAGTTACAATGGCACTGAAAAAAAGCAACTGATGACCAGTTTTCACCCTTACAACCGTTGCGGCTTCCTCATAGTCACATGATCAAAATTCACAGATGCTTGGCAACGGACTCATATTTATGACAGTTGTCATGTCCCGGGGTTCAGGTTGATCCCCTTTTGCAACCTTCTGACGAGCAAAGTCAAGGGGGAACCCAGATTCACTTAACCACCATATTGCTAACTTAACTCTAGTGACTCAATCACTGTGGGTCCATATTCCTTGACAACTGTCCTGATAAGCAACAGAAATTTTGGGCTCAATTGTGGTCGTAAGGTTGAGGACTAGCTTTATAAAGGACACCGAATTATATAAATAACTCATTTAACAACCGTGTTGTCAGCTTCACAATTACAGGGGTTCGCTTAACAAGGGGAGGCAAGAAAGGGTCGTAAAATTGGGGCCTCGACAATCATCTTGCTTGACAACCTAATATTTGGGGCTCCACTGTGGTCGTAAGCTGATGTAAAGCCCTAGAGGGAATATTCACTCTGGACTACCTCCTCTGCTGAAATCGTTCCCCCCCCCCAAAAAAAAGAGAGAGAGAGAGAGAGAGAGAGAGAACGAACTGATAGGAGCTGCAATTAACAACCCTGTAATTGAGAAGGGAAAGCAAAACACAGCAGTAACAGAGAGACAGACCTGGGGGGGGGAGAGAGGGAGGATTTAACAGCCTGCCCTGGGCATTTTGAGGCTAGGAAGGAAGGGAGGGAGAGAGGGAGAGAAGAAAGAGGGAGGGAGGGAGGGAGGGAGGGAGGGAGAAAGGAAAGAAAAGAAGGAAGGAAGGAAGGAAGGAAGGAAGGAAGGAAGGAAGGAAGGAAGGAAGGAAGGAGAGGGAAGGGAGGGAAGGAGAAAGAAAAGGAGTGAAGGGAGGGAGAAAGGAAAGAAAAGGAGGAAGGAAGGAGAGTGAAGGGAGGGAAGGAGAAAGAAAAGGAGTGAAGGGAGGGAGAAAGGAAAGAAAAGGAGGAAGGAAGGAGAGGGAAGGGAGGGAAGGAGAAAGAAAAGGAGTGAAGGGAGGGAGGGAGGGAGGGAGAAAGGAAAAAAAGGAGGAAGAGAAGGAAGGAAAGAGAGTGAAGGGAGGGAGGGAGGAAGGAAAGAAA